GGGGAGCCGCCGCTGCCCACCTTCGACGTGCCTTACTTCAAGTACATCGACGAGGAGGACGAGGAGGACGAGTGGAGCAGCCGCTCGCAGTCCTCCACCGAGGATGACTCCGGGGACTCTCTGCTTTCCGACAGATACGTGGTGGTGTCGGGGACGCCAGAGAAGATTTTGGAGCATCTCCTCAGCGACCTGCACCTGGAAGCCGCCCAGGACAAAGAGACGGGTAAGGAGCGAGCCCGGCGGGGCGGCGGCGGCGGCCGGGGCAGCGCCTGTCCCCGGCTCTGGACGGGAGTGGGGGAGAGGTCCCGGTGCCGGTGCCGGCAGAAGGGGGCGGCGCGGGGGTCGCTGCCGGGCACACTCAGCCGCAAGCCGGCTGCCAGCCTGGCGTTCAACCCGCGGGGGAAACCGGCAGCGTGGGGCGCCCGGCCTCGGGGCAGCAATTAGCGAAGCCGCTCGCTTAGCGGCAACTTGAGGCTTTTTTATATTGGGTTTCGCTGCTGCCTGGGTAGCGCAGGCTGCGGCGTGCGTTGTGCAGCAGCTGTGGCTCCTCAGGCCGAGGCTGCTGTTCCTCGTAGCCTGCAGCTGTTGCTACGTTGATGAGAATACTCGCTATGCACTTCAGCCTCCTGGCTAACTACTCGCTTTGCCACCACCCCAGTACTTTGGCCCATCTTCTGTTACCTAAGCACGGCTTGTAAATTTTCTCCTAAGCCAGGGCACAGTGTACAGCCTGATGCTCTACTTGTGTGTCTTCAAGCAGAGATTGTAATTTGTTCCAGCCTAGAGCAATTATTATATTGATCGGGCTACTTGACATGCAGTTTAGTTTTCAGCTGGATCTCTTGGCTGTATGCACAGCTTGCTGTCACCAAGAGCTCCTTGGGTAGTTTATCAGAAGTGCTTGCGACCTGCAATTCATAGATAGTTTTAATGAAAGCAGCCGGGCTGGTGAGACTTTCGGAGGTCCCGAATACTGAAGCGCTGAGGAAAGCAGCTGGCTGTAAATGGAGCTGTGCATTTCATCGTTCCCAGTAGGGTTAAAGCGCATGGTCCTGCTGCCTGTATATATCTCTCTCTACAAATGAGATTACTGAGAATAACCACACTTTAATCCTTTTAAGTGACTGAAAATATAAATAACATTTGCCATTCCCTGAGGAACGTCAGGATTGGGTTCTCGGAACAAGTCATTAGTTTAATGTGGGACAATAGGCATATTCCTAGCGCTGATGTGTGAATGCCCCGAAGAAACATATAGAATGTCTGCTGCTGGTATTATTACAGTATTCCTAGTGCTGCTTTTGTCTGCCTAGACATTAATATTTAGTGCAGAGAGAAGCTGTGATTGTTTTCCTTCCACGGATGCCCTCCGACTAGTTCTGGGTGTAATTTACTTGAGCCAGCTCTTAGGCAGTGTAGTGAAGGTCCTTCGTTGGCCCCTTAAGGTCAAATGTTAGATCCAGAATAAGTTTCCCTATTAACGTTTATCATATGCAGATTGAGGGACATTAGCTGCCCGTCTTTATGGTCTGCTTCATCTTTTTTTATAAGCTCACAGTCCTGCTGGAAAACAATGAGATTTTCACTAGTGATACGCGTTATATTTTGGTGTTTGTAAATACAAAGCACTCCTTACCTAAAACCTTGGATGCTGTATTACATCCTCACGTGTACTACCTTTTTTTTCCTCTTCTCTTCGCTCTCTCTCCCTCCCATCACCGGGAGGCTCTTCATAAGCCTGTTCTTATTGTTACAGAGAGGGGCTGGTAAACTGCCCTCAAAACAAATGCTAAACCACCGCTTGCCTGGGTGTTAGCAGATGGTAATGTATTTAAAGGTTGATTGGCTTCCCCTCACCTCTTCTGCCTTATCCTACCTCCTTTTAGAAAAAAACAACTAGCTCTGCCCTGTAGCCAAGGTTAACTGGATCCTAGGGACAGAACAAAGTAGCTGTGGCTTCAGGTTTTTTGCCATCACAAAGAAGTGTGCTAAACCTTGCCCAGCGGCCCTCCGCTTCCTCAAGGGTAGTTCATCATATACTGTTTTCTTCTGACTTCATTAATCTGGTAATAGAGAACTCATCAAAATAAAAGACTTTGGGAATTATGTTTCCCAATATTTTATGTGGCGGATGCCCCTGCAATGGTTTTGATCAGTCTGTTTTGCAGACTCAGTGGCATTTGGCAAGAGGAAATACGGGATATCGACTGTACATGTGTACATCTTTCTTTGTGCACCTGAAGGCATCCCTCTGCTGTTCGTGTGCTTGGATTTGCTGTTCTTTGTATTTTTTGTAGTTCCAGTCTGGCCCATCTCAGAGGACAGTTGAGTTGCAGAGTCCCGCAGGGTTGTGTTTTAGCAGGCATAGCTTTGCGGAACATAAAAGGACAATGTTGTTGTACCCAGCTGCTGCTCCTGCTGTCAGTTTGCCAGTTCCAGGATGACTTCCTTGGCCTCCTGTTTTCCCTGCAGCCCCCAACTCGGCTTGCTTATTTGTATCTGTAAAGAACATGAGAAAGAGCTGTTCTTACATATGCTGGTACGCAGGGGGCTGTTGTTCTGTTTGACGCTTTGCGCTGCTTCCCAACGAGGGATGCTCTTCATGTTTTCATTCCCACCCTTTGTATAACAGATCATAACTGCAGTCCTCTGTGGTCATTTAAAAAAAAAAAAATCAACTATCTCCTGGGGCTAGCGTGGTCATGGGGCATCACTTTTTATAAACACTGATATGGCTGAGTGATGCACCATGTATTGCTCCCAGCCATCCTCCATTTTCTAGCCCAAGTCAGCAGGTACCGCTCGCAGCTGGGAGAGTAAAGGGAAGCTTTGGGGCTGGGCTGGGATAGATTTAACTGGGGTGCAGCCCAGGCCTCAAGGCTCCCTTCAGCTGCTGCTAAACCTGTAGCGAGATACCTTAAGCACTCTGCTGCCGCATCTTCTTCTATAAAAGATAGGTGGGGACACCTTCTCTTACCTGACCTGAAGAAGAGTCCCGGTGTCTATGATGATGTGGCCGAACACATTACAGCAACTGAGGAGACTAAAGGGGACATTGCATCGTGCACAGCTAGGCTAGTCTGTTGCTCAGAGGACTTCTGTAGGCAAGGATGTCTTGAAAGCCTGAGGTCTGCAAGACGCTTCAAGCTTAGGTACTTAATAACAGTTTAATGATTGAGGTTTTTTTGTGATTGCTAAGTCAGAGATAATATGTGAGTTCTTGCGGCATCATCTTACATGGGGACTTGCCAGTAACAAAGAATACCAGCCTTCCATCTCAAAAGGAAAAAGTTTTCATCTTGCTGAGTTACTATGACCTGTAATGCACCAACCCCCAAGAAGACTTCCTGTTTCCTACCATGAGGTGGCTGGAAATTTTCAGTTTCTGTAATGAACAGCTTTTCTGAGACATCTCTAAGGTTGTTGGAATCACTGGGGGATGTCTGCTGAGTGCGTACTTCAGAGGGCGGTTTGAAGTTTTAAGAATTGAACAGAGTGAGACACTTCAAATACGTCAACATCCAGACAGAAAACGCAGGGTATACCTCCTGGGCTAATCCTTGTCAAGGATGGGGATTTGAACAAGTAATCTCCAAGAGGCCAAATCTTAGCATCTCAGGATCTCTAATCCCTTCCCGTTGACTACAACATTTCTTTCAAAACTGTTGTCCTCTTCCGCAAAAGCTTTTGTTTCTTTGGCATTAGCAGCATTTCCTTCTCTGGATATTATCCTGATCTAGTCTTTGGAGTATCCTCTGGCTGGTCTCTATTCAAACATACCGTCTTGCCTTGCAGTGATTGCACTCAATGTTTGGCAGCCTCTGGAATGACACAGTGATCATCACATCCACTGCTACTTATCCAGGCCTGCCTGGATCGCTCAGATCATTTTCTTTAGGCCACTGGGCCACCTCTCTCAGGCAGCTTAAGTAAAACATTGCTGAAGCAGAACATAGTCTCCCTCATCACATCTGATGTCACTACCCGTCTTTTACGTCCCTACTGTGGGTTTCATTTTAGGGAATGAGTAGGGAGAAGAAAAGATTGATTTGTGAAGGTCTTTGAAAGCAAAAAGCAGTGGGAAATGGAGATCTGGAGAAAGGATGTAAATAAGGAATGGTAAAACTGGAGCAACACGATGGTGTCGGTCTTAACTGATGTATCTTTTTAGTGGACTAGGTGAAAGTGATTGTGGTAGGGGGGGAGGCATGATACTTTTGTTAGGCCATCATAGAAGTTAGGATGGCAAATGATGAAAGGCCTGGAGAAGGGCTAACGGGACAGAAAAAGAGGACGAATCCTCATGATGTAGCTAAAACAGATGCAGAAAGGTGTAAGTATGGTCTGGATTTCTTAGGAATAGGAAAAGAAAGGAGTAATGACCTTTGTACCCTGCTGTGTCATCTGGGACTGTGCATGATCCTTGCATTAGTGGGAACTCTCCCCTGTCACACAGAAGCAGTGTTAGCTTTAGGGTCATAGCGTAGCATCTAGGAGGGGCCTTCAGACCATGTCTGTTTGTCCTAGAAGTCCATTCTGTTCCTACACTTGCACAAATGACACTGCTTTGATGTTGGGTAATGGCACCCTCTGAGGAACTGTATGTGACCTTTTAGGAGAATGGTACTGTCTTGCATGAGCTGATCAGAGTCAGCTGCTAAGTGATGTTGCAAGAAAGGGATACAGCTCTGCCTTTTCTAGGTATTGTATTTTGTTTAATAATCCAAGAAAAAAATATCTGATTGGTTTTTTTGGTATTTTTTGTTTGTTTGTTTCTTAGCTGTAAAGGATGCTGTTAGGACTTTTGCTCACTGTGCTTTATTACTGATGAGTAAAAGGTGTTAACAAACGTGCTCCTGTGACTGCCGTACAATCAGCATGAGTGTATCTATCTGATGTGTGTGGACTGACGTCAAGGAGAATAAATATTTGCCCAACACTTTGTGATCCTATCTTCCAGCTTTTAGGATGGAGAGAATAAGTGCCTGCTAGCCCTTCCTCTTACCAGTCATCATTTTGAGGGATTTTGTGAACTTTTCCTCGAAGTCTTAGGAAAACTTGGTGAACTGAGTGGACTAAACGCATATTACTGCTGTGCCCATAGGAGATGAATAAGAGTTTAGCAGAGTGCATGGAGCAACATCAGCGTAAGAATAGCAGAAAAGCTAAAATAATCATTCAACTCAGTGTTCAGTGTGAGAGAACCTGGGGAGGTTCTTGCAC